AAGCAGCTGAATTCTCATCAAATATTCCTCCCACCCTCTTTTACTAATCACCTTACTAAAAAGTTGTTTCAAACTCACATATAACCTATCTTCTTACGTGCTTATTAATTTTAGTATACATATTTAGTGATTGAATTCTACAATAAATTTGGCTCCAATCAGTTAAGAATGCCAGGCCGTGGTGGCTCTACCTATAATCCCAATACTCTGGGAGGCCAAGGCAGGTGGATTGCTTGAGCTCATGAGTTCGAGACCAGTTTGGGCAACACAGCAAAACCTTGTCTCTGCAAAATATGAAAAAACTAGCCAGATGTGGTGGCACGTGTATGTAGTCCCAGATATTTGAAAAGCTGAGTGGAAGGATAGCCTGAGCCCAGGAGATCGAGGCTGTGGTAAGCCATGATTGTGCCATTGCAGTCTAGCCTGGGAGACAGAGTGAGACCCTGACTCAAAAAAAAAAAGAAATATTATGAGATATAAAATAGAGCATAGCATTTCTTCAGGAGAAATGAGACTCTTCTCATTTAGGAGAGTAAACCTAAAAAGTATTATTAGTCTGCAATCATATTTTATAACTTTGGATAATATGAAACATACATGTTCACCTATTCCGGAGACTTCATAAAGTTGATCTATAACCTAGACTTGTTAAGATTCTGCGATGTTATCAAGAGATGAAACAAGCAGAGTAAGCCACTTACTTGTGAATTTTTAAAAATTAATTTTTTATTAAATTATCTGTAATATGTAATATTCATTTTTAAGCTGTGTCTTCAACTTTTGAGGTATCATCCCTCTCCATGTGTCTCTACCTCCTCAGTGTCCTTTGAACCATTCTAATGTAAGATGAGAAAAGCACTAAAAGGGTAAGGGAAACTTTTTGATCACAGGAGAAAGTTCATTTGGATGTAATATTAATGAATGAAGATGCCAGGAAAAAAGAGCTTGTAGGATGGGGCAGAGAACAAAACACTGTCCAAAGTCTCTGTTAAAAGTAATTTTTTTCGACCGGGCATGGTGGCTCAAGCCTGCAATCCCAGCACTTTGGGAGGCTGAGGCGAGAGGATTGCCTGAGTCCAGAAGTTCAAGACCAACCTGGGCAACATGGTGAGACCTCATCTCTACAACATATCAAAAAGTTAGCCAGGCATGGTAGTGTGCACCTGTAGTTCTGACTGCTTAGAAGGTTGAGGTGAAAGGATCACCTGAGCCCAGCAGGCTGACACTGGGGTGCCACTGTACTCCAGCCTGGGTGACAGAATGAGACTCTGACTCAAAAAAAGTAACTTTTTTCTAAGAATATTGTACATCATGCCTGTCATAAACACTCAGTTTCATTGTGCAATGAAGACAGATGACAAAGAATCTGCAGCTCCAACAATCAGGAGAAAAAACCCAACTTCCCTAAACTTTTCTCTGTCCTTAGAATCTGGCTTTGTCTGCTCTAAGTGTATAGCAGAAAATGTGTGCCTGTCGGGACTGGGGGCAGTTTATGTAACTAATTGGACATCTTCGTAAATATAAGAATAGGGGAAGCTCCCTCTGTTCTCATCTGTCCTAGAGCCAGAGCTTACCCTCCAGTGAGGAGGCAAGCCAACTTGAGAAGTACACAGTTTAGCTGTCCTATGCTGCCTCTCTTACATAAGCTTTTAGGTCAGGAAGCTTTCTCCATTTTGTTTCCAAATGGTAGGAGGGAAAACATTTTAAGTATCATTTATCAGTGGGGGAAAGAGCTTGGGAAGGTTTTCAGTCAGAAGAGAAGCTTTGTAGATCAGACAGTGTGAAGAAGAGATTGAAGACAGAGGAACTGGAAAAGAAATATCCCAAAGAGAGAAGATTAATTACTTTAGAAAGAGAGTTGACACTGGCAAGGAAGAGAAAGACGTATCTTTCTCAGAGACAGAAGATAAGTGAAAAGTCAAGGAGACTATAGGGAAGAATTTTGATATTGAGAAAAAGGAAGTTGAGGGAACACAAATATCAGCAAATTAGAAGGTGATGACTCCTTCTGAGAAAGAATGGGCGGAACTTGGGCTTTGGGGTGACTTGGCCCAGCCCAAGTGGGAATGCAAGGTGGAGACAGAAATCAATGAATGAAGGAATGGCCATGCAACGGTAGGGAGCCCCCAGGGTGATGTAGACTCATAGTGAGGCATAAGAAGGTGTATTTGGAGGACATATTTGAAATCTTGGAGATAGATGATCATTATATCTCAAGGGACACTTTGTGAATGTCAATAGAGGTCATGATAGTTGAGCAGATAGAATGCAACAAGGTATGAATGCATCTGTTGGTCTACGGAAGCCAATGAGAAGGCAAACAAGAGATACAGAGGAGAATTTAAAATGTTCACAGTTATATCCCAATAGCCCTTGCCTAACCTAATGATGCATCGTGTGAAATTACAAAGAAAACTTTGGGTGTGGATATGATGTAACTTTCAGAACCAACTAAATAGTCTTTGATTTAGCAGAGCAAGCTGGCTTTAGTCTAAAGTCTTATTCTAGCATGGGATCTGATATGTCACATGGATTTAGGTGGATGGATATGAGGAGTTGGAAGAACTAAACTGCTGTGTTAGTTCCCATAGGCACTGATGCCAGGGCAAAGTAACTGTCTTTTCCTCCACGTCCAGCAGGGTCCAGTGCACATTCTTCTCACTCTTCTGTTTTAGTCTTTAATCTTGCCTGTCTGAGGAAGTAGAAGGCTCTTGGCTAATAACTGGGTTATAACTATCCCTTTACAAATCATTTTTCTCAAAAATCTTTGAGAATCCAAGAACAGGACCTTTTTAATTGGCATGTCTCTAAATCTCACCTGGTATCTGGAATGTATGTAGACGTTAAAAAAAATATGTCCATGAAAAAAATGAGTGAATGGATAAGCTGCACTCTCTAAGAACTCACATTTCTTTAGAAGACACGTTCTTTGGATTTTGAAACCCCTGTGATTCTTTCCCACTCCTGTTCCACCCACCATGTCTTTTCAAACTTACATAGGTATCTTCCAACTGTGTAAATCCAAATTGTTGGTCTCTGTAGGCAAGTTCGACTTCTTCCCACCAGTTCTGCCCTGGATCTTTTGTCCTTAATTTTGCTGGTACCTGGACTGACTATCCCACTGCTCTGGTTGTGCCTCCTACAAGAACAACAGAAGTGATTATAGTAAGGCAATACCAAAGAGATGGAGTGGAAGAGCCTGCATAAATAAAAAAAAAAAGGCTGCATAAATATGACACCTCTATTAAGTGAGACATTTCCAACTTAAAATCACCACTCCAGCTTGACAGACGTCCCAGCTTTTTTCTGCCTTGGGACTGCTGATTACCAAGAGTACAACCCATCCATTCAACGCCTTTGTGTGAGTTAGTAAAAGGTGCCTCTACAGAGGCAAAGGTAACCAACACCCAAGTGCATAGCATAGCAAGGTGAACAGGGGCTGGATTTCAGCCTCCACTTGACCATTTGGGCAGGCAGATGCCTTGTGCGGTAAATAACCTGCATACCTGCGTTCTTTGTTCCTGCTGGTTATGCACTCTTTTCGGCCTACATATCCTAAGGAGAGTCTCCTATGCACTCCTGAGCTAAGGATGACAATCTCATTCTAAAAGGCAGGTAGCAGATTCCTGGTCCAAACTGACCCCTGGTAACAATTAGAAGACATCAAAAAGCAGAGTCCCAGGTGTGCAAGGTGAGTTGCTATTAGATGCTTGCCTCGCTCTGAATGTGTACCTTTCCCCTTCAGTTAACAAAACAAACCGAATAACTCTACTTGGAAGGCAAACTCTTAAAGGCAAACTCTTGCTGTCTCTTGATTTCATTTTCGTAGTTTAGTATAGGCAAGATTTGCCTCCATACTAACTGTACCAGTTCAGTAAAGCGATGGGGGAAAGACAGAGGGATGGATTCCTTCCATTCCTCACAGCCCAAGTCCAGGTTTCCAGGGCTCTTTTCAACGCAACCATAATGAATCAGGCAGTGAATCTTAGAGTTTCAGGGAGACAGCTTGATTAAACCCTGGGTGGGTCATGCCACCTCATTCCACCAGCTGGCGCTCAGGTTGACAGTGTTCAGACATGCTCACAGGGCTGTCACAGGTGGGGAGGGGAGGTTTGTTGCTAAGTGAAGGTTGTGACTCGGCCAAAGTCTGAAACTATATTTTTCTGAGCAGGATCCGTTTCCAAATCGGAAAAAGCCCTCTTTGTATCTAACTGAAAAATCCTGTCAGTTTTTTTTTTTTTTTAAGACAAGGGCAGAGGAGGATGAGTAGAGGGTGGGCAGGAAGTTTGGTTTCAGTGAGGGGAGGCCCATCTTTAACTTATCACCTTCAGTGAGGTTGGCCTCTCTCCACCTCCTTCACCATGGGAGTAATTTCTTAAATGTTCACAAGAAGTTTGTGAGACTGGACTTGCTTCTGTCCAATTAAAGGAAGAATTCTCTGACTGTCTCTTCACGACTGCTCTTCGGGGTGAGATGTAGCTCACATCGACCAAATGTCAGCCAAGACTCAACTCCTACTCTTGACCAGTCACCACAGTCCTCCACCTCCACCCCTTGGGGCGGTAAGACAAGATCTGGGTGGTTCCTGTTCATTGCTTGACTTGAATCAAGACTGTAACTGGGGTCTCTGTGGACCAGGAGGCCTCAGATTTAAAGGGGAAAGTCAGTAGGAGTTCAGCAAAGGGGTCCGACAGGAAGCCCTCCCACCCCCCGGCTTCTCCTACTTATAAAATCTGTAACACATGTTGACGAGATTCAGAATTATGTCATTGCCTCCTAACTTTTTGAGGTTCCAACTTCTGGGGCCCCTGGGATAGGAGCAGTTGTTCTGATAAAGTCAGGATTTAGGACTGGCAGCTGAAGTCGTTCAGGGCCCCTCCTCTCTGAGTTGTCTTCATTGCTTTCTGACAGCCACAGAGAGATCTGGCTGCTCTCAGACTGACAGCCCAAACAGCCCTGCCATGTAGAAATGAAATAAACAACTGGATTTTGTTCCCCAGGAGAATACATAGATGAGCATGGCCGCTGCCAGACCTGTGACGCCTCGTGTGTCAAGTGTCGGGGGCCAACCCAGGAAGATTGCACTGCCTGCCCTGTCACAAGGTGAGTGACTTCTCAGGATCTCCTGAGGGTGGGAGCTTAGGGGTGGCAGGATGGAGAGAGGAGGTGCTTACCCCCTTAGAGTCACCCATGGGACTGCAGGAAAAAGAAACAAACTTCTTCCTGTGACGCAGACATTCTCCTTGGTCTGGTCACAGCCCACCGCTGTAGCATCTTCTCTCCATGATGCCCAGTTTCCATTGCAAGAACCAGTTCCTTGGACACAGAAAGATTTTTCTCTTCAATGAACACGGTGCCCTTGATGCCATTTTCATGCCAGGAAGCTCATTTCTTTCTACACACGCCTCCCTCAGGCATCCCTTCCATCTGCCCACCAAATATTGTCTTATTTCTAGAGTCAGTTCAAGGGCTGTTTTATAATGACATTTCTGACCTTCTCCCAGTAGAATTAAACTCCCCTCCCCCCCACCCCCCCACCCCGCCCCCTGCTTTTTTTCTGAGTCAGAATCTTACTCTGCCGCCCAGGCTGGAGTGCAGTGGCATGCTCACGGTCACCGCAGCCTTGATCTGCTGGGCTCAAGCAATCTTTCTGCCTCAGCCTTCCAAGTGGTTGGAACCACGGGCATGTGCCACCATACCTGGCTAATTTTTTGTATTTTTTGTAGAGACGAGCTCTCGCCATGAGCTGAGGCAATCCTCTTGCCTCCGCCTCCCAAAGTGCTGGGATTACTGGCATGAGCCACCGCACCTGGCTAAACTTCCCTTTTTATGCCCCTTTGAAGACACTCGTTTACAAATCTAATCTCTTCATTAGACTATAGCCACCTGAGATGTCTGTCTTTGTATCTCTAGTACCTAGCAAAGTGCTAGGATAATCGTAGGCGCTCAATAAATGTCTGGTGGCTAAGAGTTTGAATGAATGGCCTCATCCCTGCCCTGCTAACTGTGTAGGAAGCAGGGTCTCTCCCCAGACCAGGACAACAAGGTTGTTCCAGAGTCAGATGCTTGGCATCTCTGGGACGGATGTTCCCTCTGTTTTGCAGGGTCATTTTGTCCTAATTCCTCCCCATAACTGGAATATTTTGGCAGGCAGAGGCTGGTTATTTTTTCCCGTTTATTCCTCACAGTGTTCAACACACAATAATTCAATGAATGTGTTTTATTGAACTAGATAAAGTATGCAATCAGTATCTCAGATTTGACTTTCCAAATAACTCCATCAGAAGGAGGAAGGAAGAGAGGACAGAATGAATAAGAAGGAAAAGGAAAGAAGGAAGGAGGAAGAAGACACAGAAGAACAATCTTAGGCATTCTCAGTGCTAACCGTGAGAACATTTTCCAAATGTCTCTAAAGAGATGTGTATACCTCTAAATATTGAGTTTGCTTTAGAGTAAACTCAGGGCATAATAGAATACACAGACAACATTCCCAAATGAGGTCCTGTTTCTCCAGTTCCCTACCACACCAACAATCAAATCCCACTGCATGTCTGAAGCAGGGACCATTTTAGCATTTGTATAGTAAGGCAGCTACCATCATTTCTTTACATTTCTATAAACCCCGGGCTTAGCCCCTGAAAGACAATTAAAAACTTGGACGAAATAAGTGTCCTCTTTGCAACTGTATTTAACATGCAAAGCTCTGTAATGCCAATGTCCTCCTTGCCCAAGCTAATTTCCCAGTTCAGTCCTGAGGAAGTTACAGAATCAATGAACTAATTAAAAGCATTTCAAAGTTACCTCTGTTCTGACCCACCCTCAAACGTTTTATTTGATCTGTTTCAATGAACTCAGAAAAAAATAACTTTTACTAGATTTTCTTCTGTCAGAACATTAAAGCACCAAGAAATTACATTAAGTGCCCTCTTAATGGCTTTAATTAGGCCAAGACAACAATGAGTTGGCATAACTGGACAGAGAACCAGCTAACTCTGACTTGCCATCTCTTCCATTACACACACACACACATACACACACACACACGCTGGGGAATTCTGGAATATTCAACACCAGTGGTTGAGATCATCTCTGCCCAGATTTTTAGCTCTTGGTTTCACTGTCTTCTCCCTTTCTGTCAACTCTGTTGGATCTTCAAGGATTCACTGCCTATGAAAAGGTCAAGAGTAGGCGTTAGTTGGGGAGAGAAGCTTAATTCCCTTTTTATGCCGCTTTGAAGACATTCATTTACAAATCTATCTCTTCATTAGACTAAAAGCCGCACAGGCATCTATAGAGATGACCTTACCCAGACATCTCAGGAAACCATGAATTAGATGATTGGTGGTCCCAGAGATGCCTGGAGCTGGCTTTAAAGAAAATTTTCTGCCTGAGCCCACGGGTTCGAGACTCACCTGGACAACTTGGCGAGACCTCGTCTCTACAACAAAAAAATCAAAAATTAGCTGGGTGTGGTAGGGCGCGCCTGCAGTTCCGGCTACTTGGAAGGCTGAGGTGGAAGGATCGCCAGAGCCTGGCAGGTCGTGGCTGGAGTGGCTGGGAACGGCCACTGCACTCCAGCCTGGGCAACAGAGTGAGGCTCCAATTTAAAAAAAAAAAAGAAAATTTTCATCAACCCCAATTTCTACTTTCATAGAGCAAAGTATCTCCTCTCCTTCACTTGGAAAAATGTGTTGGTGTTATTGAAAATGGTGTTGGTGTTATTGAAAATGGTGTTGGTGTTATTGAAAATATGACTTTTTCAAATTTCTTAGCAATTTTTCTTGGGGAAGATGGAGGGTGCAAGGGGGGTGATCTGACTCAATGACTTCATTTAAGCATAACCATCTTCCCTACCTTTCTGTCTTCAAAAAGACTCATCCTCTTTTAAAATTATGTCCCCAACCGGGCTTGATGGCTCAGCCTGTAATCCCGCGCCTTTGGGAGGCTGAGGTGAGTGGATTGCCCAAGTCCGCGGGTTCGAGACCCACCTGGGCAGACAAGACCTTATCTCTACAATAAAATCATAAAATTAGCCGGACGTGGTAGCGCGCGCCTGTAATTCC